CAAGAAACAATCGTTTTAAACTTAATTAGGCTCAGTCAAGTAAAACAAAGTTCATAAAATACTGGGTGTCAAAACTCCTGTTGATTATTATTAAATTACTGTTATCAAGATAATCTAAATACACTGCATTTGTTTAAAAGCAAAATACTGTGGATGCTGGACTTCTGAAAGGAGAACATAAAATCTTGCACCTTCTCTGTATTTCTATCTATCTTTCTAACCTCTATCCATCTATCTCTATATTTCTTCTGTATTCCCCAGATATTCTCTAGCTTTCTGTACTCTTTATCTAAATCATCTATCTCTCCATTTAGCCATCGATCCATCCATCCCTTTATCATCTGCCTATGTATCCACTTTCTCTCTATACTCTTACTCTCACTATCTCTATTTGTCTACATATCTTTCTCTCAATCTATCTCTTTCTGTCTATCTATATATCTTTCTCTCTATCTTTGTCTCTATCTACATATCTTTCTGTCAATCTACCTCTTTCTATTTCTGGTCATCTATCTCTCTCTCTATCTACCTCAGTTTACCTGTCTAAAAAAGGATCTTTTATCTTTCCTCCATCCATCAATCTAAATTCGACCTCACCGTACATCCTATACGATCTCTCTATCTCCCGTGTGACAGTGGTAACCTCTCCTTCCACCTCCCTCTCGACCTGTCTCCAACCTTTGACACAGAGGCACACACCATCCTCCTCCAACCCCCTCTGCCCTTGTCGTCCAGCTCTCATCTGGCTCTATTCTTATCCATCTCATTGGAGCCAGAGAATTCCCTGCAATGGTTTCCCTTCCCACTCCCACTCTGTTCCCTCTGGTCTCCCCCAAAGGATCCATCCTTGGTCCCTCCTTTTTCTCACCTATACACTGCCCCTCGGGGACATGGTCCAATAGTTTTTCCTACATACACTGATGACAGCCAGCTCCACCTCACCGCCACTCCCCCACAGTCACTGAATTATCAGACCGCCCATCCCACATCCAGTACTGGATGGTCAGAGACTTCCTCCAGTTCAATACTGGGAGGACCGTGGCCATTGGTTTCAGTCTCCACTTCAAACTCTGTTCCTTTTGGGTTATCTCTCTAACTTAATCTTTTATGGAGGGGCGAAGGGAGTGTTACATCCTACTTTGAATTCTGCCTGACAATAATCTAAAGTATCTCGGTTGTTACAGGTTAATGGGAAGTCCAGGTCGAAGAAGGTGCGAGATATTCCCATCTGTGAAGAATGGCCAGGGCAGTTTTGCTGACTGTAGATAGACTGTTCGTCTTCCAGGCTCCCAGGGAGGCACTAGAAATGTCACATCTCCGGCATTTGCACTTTAAACTTTCTATTCAATTTCAGGATGGAAAGGAGTTGGGCAAATCTAGAGGATAGCCAATTAGCATTTCTTCCTGGATACAAGGTCCATGTGATTCATGTTGCCAAGGAGATCATGGGGAACAGCACGCATCATTGTAATATTGGCTTATTGGTTTCCTAAGCTATGCCCCTGAACTTTACCGACAGGACTGCAATCGTGTAAAACCATGAGATATTGGAGAGGAATTAGGCCATTCAGCCCATCAAGTCTGTTCTTTTGATCATCACTGATGTGTTTCTCAACCCCAATCTCCTGCCAAATGCCTTCTTTGCAGGTAGAGAGGGTAGTTAAGAAGGCATGTGGTTTGCTTGCCTTCATTGGTCAGTGTACTGAGTATAGGAGTTGGGACGTCATGTTGTGGCTGTACAGGACATTGGTTAGGCCACTTTTAGAATACTGCATTCTATTCTGGTCTCCCTGCTTTAGGAAAGATGTTGTTAAACTTGAAAGAGTTCAAGAAAGGTTTGAAAGGATGGGAGAGTTTGAGTTATAGGGAGAGGCTGATTAGGCTGGGGCTTTTATCCCTGGAGTGTAGGAGGCTGAGGGATGACCTTATAGAGGTTTACAAAATCATGAGGGAGATGGATAGGGTAAATAGACAAGGTCTTTTTCAAAGTATAGGGGAATCCAAAACTACAGAGCATAGGTTTAAGGTAAGAGGGGAAAGATATAAAGGGACCTGAGGGGCAACTTTTTCACACAGAGGTTGGTGCATGTACAGAAAGGGCTGCCAGAGGAAGTGGAGGAGGCACATACAATTACAATATTTAAAAGGCAGCTGGATGGGTACGTGAATAGGAAGGGTTTGGAGGGATATGGGCCAAATGCTGGCAAATGGGACTAGATCAGTTTAGGATATCTGGTCGGCACGGAGGAGTTGGGCCGAAGGGCCTGTTTCCGTGCTGCATGACTCTATGACTCCTACCTTCTCCCCCAACCCTCGATCCCCTTACTGATAAACAACCTACCTATCTTAGTCTTAAATACACTCAATGCCTTGTCCTCAACAGCCCTCTACTGCAATGAGTTCCACAGATTCACCATCCTCTAGCTGAAGAAATTCCTCCTCATCTCAGTTCTAAAGAGTTGTTCCTTCACCCTGGCGCTGTGCCCTTGGGGCTCTCGTCTTTCCTACTTGTGGAAAGGTCTTTTCCACGTCCACATGAGACGGAAATACGTAGAATGTAAATAGGAACTCACGCTCAGATTGAAGAGACCAATGTTACGAGGATATATATGTGAGGCTGGAGATAGAAGAAGTGCATCTCCAGTTTAATCTTTAGCATGAATGACACTCTGGGGACTGAAAGTCACCTGGCAAGAAAAGTGAAAGGAAGCAAAGCTTGCGAAAATGAGAATAGGTTTGGATTAATTCCTGGAGAGTGAAGTATGTTCCAAAGATGTGCAGGCTAGGTGGATTGGCCATGCTAAATTGCCTGTAATGTTCAGGGATGTGTAGGATGCTCTGAGGGTCGGTGTGGACTTGTTGGGCCGAAGGGCCTGTTTCCACACTGTAGGGATTCTATGATCTATGATAAATTAGGAAAGTTTGTTGAGCTTTAGAGCTTAAGTTGCCTCTTGAAAGAGTGTTTGGTTAAAGTTGCTTTTAGTTTATTTGTGTAAAGGCCTAAAAACTTGAGTGATCATAGAATCCCTACAGTGTATAAGCTGGCTCATTTAGCCATTGCAACCTCTGAAGAGCAACCCAGCCCATATTTCCCATGGCTAATCCACACAGCCTTAGACTATGGGAGGAAACCAGAGCATTTACAGGAAGCTCACACAGACACAGGCAGAATGTGAAAACTCCACACAGGCAATTATCTATGGGTGGAATTGAACGCAGGCCCCTGTTATTATAAGGCACCAGTGCTAACCACTGAGCCACTGTGGATCCTGGAGGGTGTGTCTTACCACTGGAAGTTTCAATTTCTGTTTGAAAGTTTTGGTCACTACAGAGATCACAACAGAAATTATGTGCATTTGTGCACAATGTATGTGCATATCTACCTCTGTATATATATGTGAGGGTGTGCATGTGTGAGGGCGAATGTATGTGAATGGGAGTATGAGTGTGTGTGTGTAAATATGTGAGTATGAGAGTAAGTGAGGGTGTGAATGAATGTGTGTGTGCACGTGTATGTGAGTGTGTGCAAATAGGAGTGTGGTGTGTGTAAATATGTGAGTGTGAGAGTGAGTGAGTTTGTCTGTGTGTGAGGGAATGTAACAGTGCATGTCTGTGTGTATGCATGCATGTGTAAGTGTAAATGTGTGTGTGCACGTGTGAGTGTGTGTACATGTATGAGTATGTCAGTGCGTGTATATGTGTGTGTGTTAGAATGAATGTGAATGTGTGCACATTTGTGTGTTTGTGTATGTGAGTACGCATGTGTGAAAAAGTATGTGTGCCCGTGTGTGAGAGAGTTTGTGTCATACATGAGTGTGCTCGAGTTTGTGCATAGATACTGTGTCTGTGCGTATGTGAGAGTGTGGCTGTGTGTGTGTGTGAGTGTGTGACTGAGCTTGTGTGTGTGGGAGTATGTGCTTGTGTGACTGTTAAATGTGTGTTTTGCATGTTAAATATGTGTTTGCTTGGGCCTATATGAAATATGTGTTTGTGTTTGACTGTGTTAAATGTGTGTCAATGTTGAATGTATGTTTGTGCCTGTATTAAATTTGTGTCTGTGTATGGAGCTGTGTTTATGTGTCTGTAAAGACTCTGTGTACATTGTATATGTAAATGTGCGTGCATGTACACTCGTGTGTGCCCTTATTGCCTGCATTTGTGTGTGAAAATACATCTGTGTCTGTGTATGGGTGAGTGTGTAAACATGTGTGTGAAAGAGAGATAGAGGCAGAGTAGTGACACTGTTTGCTGAGGAACGAGAATGGCTATGTTTAAGTTGTTACTCACTGCCCCCTCTGGTGCTTCTCTGTTTTGCCAGTGACTGAGAGCAAGTCCCTCACTCTGTCTCTCTTGCTCTCTCTCTCTCCCTCTCTCTTCTCTCCAAGAAAGCTCACTTTACAGACCGCCAGGAGCTGACACCAGGATCTGAGGTAAGTGTTTGCTGCGTTCGATGCATTTATCACTGGCTGGGTGTTGGTGAGCAGTGAGATTAGAAACCGTGGTTTCCTGATGGTCTTTCTGAGACACAAGCACTTACAAAGAAGAGACGGGGAAGCAGCCTTGAGGCTGTTTCTGCCTCAGTCTGTTCGATGCTGACGAACACTTGAGGAGTGACATTCAATGGGAATAAATCCTTCCTGGCGCTCAGTCTTTATAAACATTCCCCTGGCTCCGAGACTTTGTAGTGATGTTTTATAGCGCATCAAAGTGTCAAAAACTCCCAGACTTAGCCCCCAGTCGGTATAAGTTGCACTTGCTCTGACTGTGCAGCTTCATTCAGGTAAAGGGTGAGGCCAGAACGCTGGAGTAGTCCAGCAGCATTTCAGTGAAACAAGTGGCAGAAAGCTGAGACTGTGTTTGCAGCACACACACATAGACACACAGATAGACGCAGGCGGGCAGAGGCTCAACAAATTCTTTCTCTCTCCTGATCCACAACGGACAGCAGGGTCAGTGCCGAACAGCACCGAGCTGCTGCTGTTAGTGACAAATTCGCATTGCCAGCTGAGGTAGGAAAGCACACTGCAAAGGGTGGTTTCTTTTTGAGCTCAGCATTAGGTATCTTCACTGCTGTGTAACAGGTGTGTTGGAGAACTCCACGCTCCAAATGCAGGCTGGCATTGTGGAAAGCTGTGCTGTCTTTCCAAGGCTCTTCCACAGATATGTTTAAAAAGACACCCCTTCATCTCATTAGAATTAATGGAGTGACTCTCACTGGGTTACAAGATTCCCCATGCACACTGACTCTCACTAGGGTACA